CAAAAATCCCATAGTGGTCTGTCATCAAAACTTTTTTTTTAAAGCAAGGGAGTGGCAACTTGATAGAATTCTCTATCAGTTTTGTTGAAAACAAAGAATTGGACACACTAATCTTTCAAAATGTTTCTGTAACTGAAGTCATTCATCATTTCAATTTCTCAGAAGTTGGCTACCAAAGAACCGACTAGATTTATCAAATAATTCTTTGAGTCTGTTATTCTTCACTTACAGGCTCCAGATTTAATATAATATTCTCTGATGGTGCTCAGAAAAGAAAAAAAATTGGATAAATTTCTTTGCTACGTCTTGGCTAATAGAATTTCAATCAGCATTATTATGGCAAAAGTTATATAAAATAAGACCCACCAATTTTAAATGTACAGTTGTATGACTTTTGACAAGTATACAAAATTGTGTAGCCGTCACCAAAGTCGTGATTAGAACATTCTCCCCCACATTCCCTTGTGCAGCTTTGCAGTCAATCCCCTTCCTAGAATCTTGGCCCCGATTGACTCTTTGTTACTATTGTTTTATTTTAGACAATACTGTTTCAATACCTAGAAGTGCAATTCCTGGGATGTTCTGTAAGTGTGTGTATAACTTCATAAGAAATGGCAAGGTGCTTTTGAAAGCCACTACACCTCCAATAGTCTGTGGGAGCTGCCGCTTGTACCATTTGCTCTCATTAGTGTTTTTTTCATGTTCATTATTTTATCTTGCATGCAGTGGTACCTTACCGTGGTTCTCATTTGCATTCATCTACTGTTTTGTGATTTTGAGCATCTTTTCACGTTCATTGCTATGTGTTTATTTGCTGTGTTCCATTCTTTGCTGAAAGATCTATTGAAATGCTTTTGTTCATTTTTGAAATTAGGTGACTTGACTTATAATTGGGTTTTGGGTTCTTTATGTGTTTTAGATCCATTACTTTATAATGGATCTAAATACTTTATCTATTATGAATCTAATATTTTATATTATCACGTTTTAAATATGTTTTTTAAACCTTGGAGCTGCAGATTGAACTCATTTGATTTCAAAAATATACCCTTTGTGTTTCTTAATTTGCAAAGCAAGGGTCTTTGTCAAACTAATTAGCCAAATTATACTTTCTGTCAGACAAAAAAGAAACTGACCACATTTGTCAATTCTAATGAATGTGTTCAGGTAGGACCCTGTGGTGACTGTCTGAAACCTATTTCTAAAGTAGAAAGACCAGGCTCAGTCGTTTACCACTGTTTTGGATCTCTTGGTGATAAACAATACTACTTCTTCCTTCAATTTTATAACCAATCCTCCTTTGAGGCTCTTTACAGGACCACTTCAGGGTGTTGCTGTTTGGGGAAAGGGAAATGCCGTCAGGTTAGTGGCAAATGTCTTTACTCCCACCCCAATTTACAGTGTTTCCAGATTCCAAATATTTCAACTCAGGCCAAATCACTCCATTTCTTATTTTTTCTTTTCCCTAATGAAAAAGTTTTAATATGAAGACTCACATCATGATAAATGAAAGTTTACAAAATTTCTTTCTCTTGCTGTGTTCAGCTTTTGTATTTTTTCTATTTCTTTTTTTCCTTTTTTGATGGTATTGGGGTCTGAACTAAGGACCTTGCACTCATGAGACAGGCACTCTACCACTTGAGCCACACACCCAACCCTTTTTGCCTTGGCTATTTTTCTGATAGGGTCTCACTCACATTTTTGCCTTGGACTGTTTTTTTTTTTTTACCCCCCAATGGGAGAATGGTGGCTATGAAGGAGGAGGTAGGAAAGGATGCAGCACATCTGAAGCATGACACAGTTTTGGCAGGAAAGTTTTTGAAACACGTAGATATGAAAGATGAAGAGATGGAAACTAGTTCCCTATCTGTGCCTGAATGGGCAATCCATGAACTCCCAGGGGTAGGGCAACATGTGTACAAGATCCTTGATGTGGTAAAACCTAATACAGTTCAAAGTCTCTTGTTATAAATGTTTTTTGAAAGGCTGAAGGACTGAGAAGCAATGGGGTATCACATATTCCAAGGGAGATAAGTTGTTTGCTTCTAGAAGAGAGTGAGTCTCCTAGATGCCTCCTTGATGGACAATATCTTTAAGGATTTCTTCAATTGTCATGAGCTCCCTAGTCAAAGTCTCTCCCTCTCTCTCTCTCCCCACATACATATCTAGCTCACCATTTCATAGAGCCTGGTAGCTTTATTTACGAGTGCATGTAGTACTTTTATTATTATTTTAAATCAGCTATCATTGTCACACCAGTTTTAAGAGCCTTTGATTAATGTTTCCCCTGTATGATTTTCTTGGGGGAAAACCTCAATTGGTATCAGTAAGAGACCTAATTATTAGAATATTTAATTAAGAATTTCTTTCAGATACTTTTCAAGAACAACTTAAGATCTCAGAAACTCAACCTTATTTATATCTCTAGAATTGAAAAGTAAAGACATCTTGACAGTAATCACAAAGACTCAACTGGGCCAGACATTATGAAAAATTATTTTCATTTATTCAAGCTGTACAATAAAATATCCATTTAATATGATACTCACAGAGGCAATAAAATACATAATTTTATGGGCTTTTCAAAGTCATTTAAAAATAGAGAGCTGTCATTTTAGAAAGCTTAGCTATTTTTTCTTCCCTCTAGCACATTAGGGAAAAAATACAACACGCAAGATATCACATCATATTAAGAAAGCCAAATTCTGTCTCACTCATGTATCTTAATCAATAGGGAGGAAAACCTGCTGCTTCAGCTGCTGGCATCAGGGCCCTTGACTTTGGGTATGCTGAAATTTTGATATGAATTCACAGTGTGTCTTTAGTGCACCTGTCTGTTTTCTGTTTGAGGAAGAAAGTGTAGGAGGTACTTAATAGCTAGAATGAAAGTCTTCCTTTTGCATCCTTGGGGCACATTCTTTAGTAGTCCCTAAGAAGAAAATCTGTATCTCCCTCTTTCACTGTCTCTTAAAACATCCATAACACATTTTAGAATATTTATCTAATGGTGGAAAAATATGGGGCCCATATTCAATTGCAAGTGTAAACTTTGTATAAAAAGATATAAATGCTCCATTTTTTTAAAAAGTAAAATCCCTTGTCCCAGTTGGGTTCCTGTCTTTGCAATCCTTCAATGCACTAGCAGGATCTGAACTCACAGCATCCATGTGCAAAAAGTTCTTTGGAGACAAAACATTTGAAAGGAATCTATGAGGCTATGAAAATATCCAAATGGAACATGGAACTAAAGCACTAAAGACTGAGTTAAGAACATCTGTGCATCTTGCTGCAAAATGAGGGAAAAAAATTAAATTAGATTTCATGATTGAGAGCCCTGCACTTGACCAGTTATTTCTCTTTGGCAGCCAGAAGACCTGCTGCCATTTATGAGATCCTACTTCCTTTCTCTGGTTATGCCTCTGGATGCCTATGACAGCATCCAAGGCATTCACCTGGCGAGGCCCTTCCTATATCTGGGCCCAAGAAAATGTTCTCTTCTTCAAATACTGTTTAATATTCACTTCCGGATCCCTCTCTGACTTGATTCTTCTCAGTTACTTCCTGCTGCACATCAAATTGATCCCATTAAAACATTTCAACCAAGTGTCTCTTATTTGTGCCTTTCTATGTGTTTCCCATTTATCTATTTCCCATTATGTAAATTCAATGTATGCACTGCCCATTTCTCCCTTGCTATGAATTCATTCACTGGAGTCCTGGTATTTCCATATTTCTACTCTCTGTTCCTCCTGCCTCTACTCTGCTCATAAGGTCTGCGTGGGTGCTTCATATGAACAGAACAGCTGTCATTCGAGTCAATCTGGACCTGATCACACAGCTAAACCTTAGGGAAGTCCCTCTCTAGGGCTTGAAGTAGTGCCAAATTCAAGTCATTTGAAAAAATTTATTTTTTTCTTAAGGAGACAGTGGGTAAAAATGGATCCTGGGGCTAGGGCAACAAGTGTACAAGATCTTTGATGTGATAAACATCTAATTTTAATTTGGTTGTTGAATTTAATTTAGACAGTCACTGGAGAAGGCTATTTTTTTATTCATTTACTCATATGTGCATACATTGTCTGCACCAACTTTCCCCCCTGAAGGCTATATTTTAAAACGGGAAGTCATATCATATTTGTCCATATTATACAACACAGTTCTATAAATAAATAGGGTGCAAAGTTTTCAAAATAATGATTAAAATGTCAGTGGAATGAGTTCATGCTAATCTTTTTTTACAATCATAAATATTGAAGAAAATCTTCAATATTACTTTACAATAATAATTTATTGTATCTTCTTTAATATACAAAAGTGCTTATCTCTAGGTTATGAGGTTTGGTATTAGAATTCAGTTTAGGTGTTGCAAGGTTCTCAGGATTACTTATACTACGTTTGGTTTACAACTATTTTCAAGACTATTTCAATGATACTATATATATCATCTATATATACACTTGACCTTCCATTTCTGGGTTCTACATCTGTGGTTCTAACTAACCATATATCAAGCATATTTGAAAAATATGTGTATTAAAAATATTACAGACTTTGTTGCCATTATTCTGTACATTCTTCTGTAAAAAAATACAGTATAACAACTATTTACATAGCATTTACATTGTACTAGTTATTATAAGTAATCTAGAGATGATTTAAAGTATATGGGACGGTAATGCAAAGAAATTCCTTATACAAAGAATTTGAGCATCTGTGAATTTTGGTACTAAGGAGCATTCTGGAACCAATCCTCCACAGACACTGAGCAATGCCATATACTTGTGTGTGTGTGTGAGAGAGAAACATATATAGGTACATGAAATGATATTTATCACATTACAGAATTGGACTACTGGTCACTTTGTACTAAAATCAATATATAGATTCAATTTAAATTTTTTTCACTCTAACTTTTTCCTGCCAACTATCCCACCAAAATACAATTATAGTTATAGTTTAAGAAAGTTCTTCAGCATTTTTCTTTTTTGTCCATTTGATGTCTACTTTTCATCTGGTTGAAATCCTTCATTTATCTTATATGACGATGAGTCAGGCTTTGTTTTGTTGTCTTCTTCGCTTGGAAATTCTGCATTATTTTTCCCACGACACTTCTTATATCCAACATAAACTGTAAAAAATAGACAAGAGGTTGGGTAAGTTTCAGATGATTAGGTGAAAAATTATTTTGGATATTGGATATATTGTATGACTTGGAAAGTAGTTTATGTGACCTCTCACCAGAGGGCACTGACAGAACGCAATTGTCATCCTTAGGTCTGTGATATTTATGGCAAGAGGGGTGACTACACTTCCAGAAGACCTAACATAGAACTTCAGGGTTTATTTGCTCAGTGCAACTATGGGACTTCTTTAGGATTTCAGTCCTGTGTGGGATATTCTGTAATAATGAGAACCAGAAGTTGATTGAGGTAACTCATCAGGACATGCTCTGCAAGGGGAGACCTGAAGTTTATGTGTGTGCATGTGTATATATCCGCACACGTGTGAGGCAGTGGAATGTGAGCCTGTATTAGTAACACCATTTGGGTGCAGATTCAAGCCATTATCTTCCAATTAAACTTTATCTGTAATAAAAGTGCTATTTTAAATATCTGACTTTTTCTTCCTCTCAACTGGCTCCAAAGTCAAAAAGGGAAAAGAAGGTATCATTTACTATATCCCTAAAATTCTAATACTTTATATATAAAATTGCTATGATAACATTTTCATGGGGTAATTTTGAGTGTTCAGTGAGATAAAATTAAGTCCTTTCATTGGCCTGTGTAGAATAGTAACAGCTCAGTAAATGTTTGCTGTAATTATGAGACAGATGAGAGAGACAATGCCCTGCTTCAAGCCATACCAAACCAAACCAAACCAAACCAAACATCTATCTCTGGAGCTTTAAATGAAGAACAATTTTGTTGAAACTGCTTTGATTATATGGGTATTAAAATATATAAGTATACATGCATGCACATATCTGCCTCATAACTTAGTTTGATAATTATCCTTTTATATCACCTTTCATTTCCTGTTTTTTTAAAGTAGGGTTTTACTATGCAGCTTATGCTGGTCTCAAAGTCATGATCTTCTTTCCTCAGTTTCCCAAATGTTGGGATTACAGACTGGAATCACCACGCCTAGCTTGTGGGAGATCACTTTTCTGATAAATGTCCTGTATTTACAAAGCATATTCAGACAATGTTTGGGGAAAATCACCAAATGCTGGTTGCACGTGGAGGCATTCAGAAAGGTGCACAATAAGGTGCCCCAACACCTTATTGCCTCCTTAATTACTGAGGATAAGAAAGGCAGTGGAGAGAATCAACCTTCATTAAAATAATCTTCATTAAAGTGTTCTGGTAAAGTTACAGTGCTTTAGTCAGTGGTTGGGAGTCACAACATTATTATTGGTAGGCTTTTGCTCTCATTTCTTTGTACAATTCACTGTCAGGAACAAGGAATTCTGAAGAAGACTATTTTAGCAACTCTGGGGTTTCTTAAAGAAGAGTATTGTAATGAAATTTGATTAGCATGATTTCTTACTTCCTAATAAAACTCCTGCAAAGATGAGCTGGAAAATGCTGTAGATGAGTGGGAAGGTAAACACAAGATTGAGGTCCTCAGGGGAAAAGGAGAGCTGCACGATGGTCGAACACAGCTGAGTATTCTGCATCCCTGTTTCCAAAGCAACTGTTCGACACCTGAAGAGAATGTTAAGAGAGTATATGTTTTAGTAGTTGTTTTGTTTTGTTATTTTATAACACTCAAGGCAGATTTAATGAGGACAAGTACATAGACTGTCTAGGCATTTTGTCTCTGCATTTAATATCTATCTATATATATTTTTTAGGGTATATTTTTCAATGTATAACTTTACATTGAATAAAATATATCATATAGTAATGTGATCTATTATGAATAAATAAAACATTTAATATGTAAATTGGTTTAATTATAATAGTGTTCCATAAATGGCCAAGGAAATTTCACCCTTTAAATTATGTCCTTGCTAATAGCATTGAGCACAAAGCTCAGAAAATACTCAAGATACAGTATTTTTATCAATACTGTATTGTTAAATTCATTTTTTTCAGATTAAACACTGATGTAAAATCTGTAAAATAGAAATTATTGTCTTGATGTTGCAGAAAATGGGAGAAAGAGTAATGTCTGGCCCAAGATCTTACAATTGGTGAGTGGCAGAGGGACAGCAGAAGCTGAGTGCTCAAACACTGCATGCTTCCCACCATCCCAGGCTGCATATCTCTTTCCCAGCCTCATACCTGCACCGGTTTCTACACCTGAATTTTTCCCTGTCTATTGAGTTAGATGGACTAGTAGGGGGGAAAATATTTTTGCATAAATGTTAAACCTATTTTCATATTCAGTACCTTTGGATGGTTAATTCATCTTATTGCTGACTGAAATAACCCACATGTATGACAAGACAAATCCACTGCCTTTGTTAAACTTGTTCTGCTTAGAGAAGAAGAATGGCTAGCAATAGAAAAGTTTGACCTGGATTGGACAGTTCTGGTCTGGAAGAATTTGAGGGGACCAAGACAAATGCAGTCAGTAATTTCTCCCAGGTCACTTGAATTAATTCAGGAGTGACTGATTCTATGTAGAATGCCATGATCAGTGAAGGGTTTTGGGTTTGTCATCAGTATGTACAGCTACTATGGCTTGAGTGTGTCCCTCTTGCAGATGTGTATGTTGAAGTTCTGATGCCCCCAGTATCTCAAAATGTGACTTTATGTGGAAAAGGGATCACTGCAGATAGAGTTAGTTAAGATGAGGTTAGTAGGCTGTGCCTGAATCCCATATGACTTGTGTCCCTATAAGAAGAAGGAAGTTTGGTCTCAGAAATGTGCATAGAGGGAAGATGAGGTGATGAGACACGGAGAGGATGGCCATGGACAAGCTAAGAAGGAGGGCAATGATAGATTCTTCTCTCACAGCCTTAGAGTGCTCAGACCTTCGTTCTGACTTCCAGTCTCCCAAACAGTGAGATAATACATTTCTATTGCTTAAGTCACTCAGTTTTTGGTACTTTGTTGAGAAAGTCCTAGCAAATAGTTTCTGTCAACAAAACCCCCAATCTGATTTATCAAAACACCATACCTGTACCAGGGCTGACCAGCTATTCTAGCCAGGAAAAATCCCAGGCTATAACCAGCAATAGGAAATATTGTCCCTATAATCCACAGTCTGGGTTCAATGATCCAGGCACTTTGGTATAATATTCCTCCAACCACGGCTATGATCACGATGAGGATTGCACCTGCAATGGATCCAATCTGGAAAAAAAGGCACAAGTAAGCCCAACATTCTGTTAAAACAAGTCCAAATAAGGTTGTCAGGGAGAAGGACCGAAAGGTCTCCTTGTATATGGGAAGTGATAGTGAAGCGATTTCTCTATGTACTTGTGGCCTGAAGGCCACTGTCAGCCCACTGGAAATACTGCTACTTAATGCCATGTTTCAACATTTAAGAAAACAACAGGAATATACACGTGACCAACATGCCGAAGGAAGGTTTTCTGTCTTGAAAATTATCCGTCAGAAGGGAAGAAACCCTACACTAGGAGCCTAGAAGATCTGGTTTCCAACTCAGCTTCTTCTATTCTGTCTCCTTTGGTAAATGATGAACTGTTCCAAATCTTCATTTCTTAGTTGTGGATAAAACCTTGCTCCAGTCACCTTTTATAATTGCTATCATAATAAGAAAATAGATAAAAGGTTATGTAAAATTTTTTAAAAGGTATATACAAATATAAGCCACTGCTATTATTTTCCCCTTTTTATAATTAAAAATATTTGGCGATTATATATTTTTTTTGTTCAGAGAAGCAGGGAATACCAACTAGCTTTTTCTGCCCCCTGAGCAGCAGAACTATTCTATATCATTTCTATCCTTATCCATATCATCAAGTTAGAATAGAGTTGCTGAAAGGAATGAGTGGTTGCTGTGTGTTTAGCATCTAAATTGTCAGGCACTGAAAAAATGGCCATATGCTACAGAGATGAGAAAAATAGGTTCATTTTCTAAGATAGCTGTCTAGATACATTTGATGACACAAACTTACATAGCAGTGATAACAACCGTATATTAAGGACACAGTAGAGTAAAACCAAGAGGCAATGTTTAAATTGGTGTCTCAAAATACTGATAGAAATCTGCCCTGTGAATGGGACCAGGAAAGGTGCTGTAGGAGAGAGGACTGTATGAGTAATGACTGCAGGTCTCCCAGAAGACAGTTATACAATGAGAATAAGATAAATCAGTAAACGGAATGACTACATCATTTCAATTCTTGGACTGAATTTATTGGATTGAAGCCTATAGCTTGGGATACTTACTTTAAGTATGATCTTTGCTTTTTCGGGCCATTTGTGATTAACCAACATCCCAAAGGAAACAGGAATAACAAGAGCAACCAAGGAAGTACCTAAAGATGATCAACAGAATATATAACATAGGAAAGAGAAAAAATAAAAGGTAAGTAGCCTGAAAAAGGCTTAGGTAGCATTTCAGTCTTCTTTCTTGAATATACAAAACAGAACATAGAATTGTATCCTCCCTCCCCCAATCCTTTTTTACCCATTCCAGTGAACAATTAAATATCACAGAGAAGTGATAATATTGATGTTATAAGTCCTTTCATTAAATCTTGGGGTGATTTTTTTTAGATTTCAAGGTTGCCTAATTACATGTGTGTGTGTGGGGAGCGTTGTTTAGATATTCTTGTGAGGTTTTTAGATGGTATTTTTCATCTGTTACTTTATGGTAGTAGGAATATGAGAAATACTGTTTTTTAAATAAAAGAAAATATTCAAAATTTGCTCAAGATCTAAAGACATTCTGAAAGCTAATGATTTTGGTTAAAATTAAGGTAAGTCATTCAAATCCATGACAAAGAGGTGAGAAATAGGTTGAAAAGCATGCTTTTAATTTTCTGTGAGATGATAAATTTGGTGATCTCTCATGTAATTGCAATTCTTTGCAGCAACAAGTGGCATGAGGCCAGATAGAAGAGTTAAACTTCAATTTTCCCACATTAAATTTACTGCCATTCTAGTGACATATGACTTATTTCTCCATATCATTTAACACTCATTTGTCCAAATCTACATTTATACATCAGAGCAACAAGTAACTTCTTATGGGCTGTTTCTTTTCCAAATATCTTTTTAAAGCAGTGTGAGAAAATGAAACATGGAACTGAAAAATTCCAGAAGTGCTGTTGCCTAGTATTGGACAGATTGATGCAGAACTGGAAAGGAGAGTCTAGATTTCAAGGCTGGTAAATGTCAATTTAAAATGAAGTAATAATAACAAAACCACAATTTCTTTGTAGCTTTCTAACCCTCCTGACAATGTAAGTGCAACAATTACTTTTGCCTAGAAATTACTCAGCAGAATTAACAAATGAATTAGGAAAGCAAGAGCTGGAAAAAAGAAAGAAGGAAATAAAGATGAAAGAAGAGAGAGAGAGAGAGAGAGAGAGAGAGAGAGAGAGAGAGAGAGAGAGAGAGCTAGTTAAAAGAAAGAAAAAGAAAAGGAAGGCAGGGAGGGAGGGAGGAAGAGAGGGAAGGAGGGATGGGGAGAAAGGGAGGGAAGAGGAAGGGAGAAAAGAAAGGAAAAAAGAAAGAAAGAAAGAAAGAAAAAGTTCTCAGAAGAGCATGGTGGAACAGGGAATTTGGAAAAGCATGTTGACAGAGTGGTAAGATCCCTGCAGAAAATTCCCTTTGGGTATCCTTGCATCCTATTATTTTAGAAGGAGACTTCTTTTCTTGGATTTCTAGACCACTCCCTAAATTTTGTTATGTTTGTAGGGTTATATTAAGATGACATTGATAAACTTGTCTGTCCTATGGTAGCTGGAGTTGGAAAATAAGAGTGGCGAGGTTTTGGTAATGTGTTTTTAATGTGTTTAATGTACTTGGCCCCTCTGGCTAAGAGCCCTTATCTTTTTGGGATAGCCAAAGCAACAAGGTAAACATGGCAACGAGATCCCTGCCACACCCTGGTGAAAGTGCTTTTCCCCTCTGGACCATTGTGGTCAGATAAAGTTTTTTTAGCATCTTGAAGGTGATGGGAAAGACAGTCTTGTGCCTTTTTCACACACACAGGTGTGACTCCTTCCTGCCTGTGGAAGGGGGACATGATCAATTCTTTACTCCCCTGTAGGCTGGGGAGCTGGCTGTCTTCTCTCACATACTGTGCTTTCTGTGTAAGATCCTGTCTAGGCAGATTAAAAATCTGCCTACAGTTATACCATTGAACCCAGCACTTTGTCTGTAGTCAAATTTACAAAGTTTGAGCAGGAAGAAAAAAAAGAGAGAATAAGTGAGTGTTGAGTAGATTCATGTCTCAGAACCTTCCAGAGACTGGAAGATGAAACTTTATTTAGTGACAAACTATGGAAACTGCAAATCATGTAACCCCTCTGCAGTCAGGTTTCCCATGTGTAAACCTGGTAGAATGATGTCAGCCTTAAAGGGCTGTTGTGAGAATTCAATGGTGATATGGACATAACGTTTTCTGTATGAGATGCTCACGTACTTGGGTACTAGAACTTGCCATAGTGTTTTGTTCTATTGGCTCTAGCTGTGGACTCAGCAGCCATTCCTGAGTCACGATCTGTGCTGAGCACTGGGTAGAAGCTGTTTCAAGTTCAGTGCCTATCCACACAGCCGGGTAGAGAGCCAGCTGGCTGGCTATTCCAGCAACCCAGTAATCTTGGGAAAATTAAGTAATTACCTTGACCCTCAATAGCCTCATTTATAAAGTGAGGATAACATCTTGTAAAGCACTTAACTTATATTTTTTTCCTCATTAAAGAACTAGAAAAACCAGCAGCAAAATTGTTAGGTTTGAGAACAGACTGGGTAAACATGATGGTAAGCAGGGTTACTATCTTCTTTTCTCTTCCCTTCACTTCCCTTCGCTTCGCTTCCCTTCCCTTCTGTCTGTCCTCTCCTGTCCTCTTGCTCTCCTCTCCTCTCCTCTCTTCTCCTTTGCTTTCCTCTCCTCTTCTCTTTTGTTTTCTTTTTTACCCTTGATCTTACTATGACCTTTTCTTTCACTGATTTGTTAATTCATTTCTCATTTTCTCCTCTTTTCAGAATTCATTCACATTAAAAGTTATGATAGAAGACACTCACATACTAGCTAGGATTACTCAGTATTCCCATGAGTCATTTTACAGAAGGGACTGAATATTAAGAGGAGAATACTTTAAGGCTTAAATTCTTTTCTTAATTGATGAGTAATGTGCATTCAAAATTCCTTAGTCAGCTGGTGGGTTCATCGAGAGACCTACAATATTTGATGTTCAAACAAACTGAGGGAGCAGCCAGACAGGTAAGCAGCATGAGGCAGAGGTAGGCAGACAGGGAAGATCACTCTAAAACCTGATTTCAGGAGATATAACTGGCATGATGAATCCTACAGGTGTCAGTAGGAACTTCTACAGAACAGTGTGTGATAAGGGAGACCACTTGCTTTTTCCTAATCTAATGTTTATGGTAGGAAAAGGCAAGAGAGCAGAGACTATCTGAAAATATTGACCATCTCAGTTAATGCTCACCAAGTTTGTTCTAATTCAGTTGTAGTATAACTTGAATTGGGTTTAAAAACAGAAGCAATCTTTCTCAGAGCTGGAAGGGGTTTCTAGTCCAGATTTCCATCTCAACAGGAACCCCATTTATAAATATCTCAAGGGGTTCTTGGTTGACCTTGGCTTATGCTCCCATCTACGGGAAACCTTTATCAGAAAGACATTTTTCCAAGATCAACTGCAAAAAAGACTGTTTATCATGCAGTGTACTAGTGATTGGTACTGATGTACTATTTCCTCCTACATTTCATCTTTCTTGTGGAAGTTCTATGGGAAAGGCTTCTTTGGACATGGCAGGAGCCATCTTGTCTTTCCCTTGACACAGTTCCCTTGTCACACCAACCACTTCATTTCCTGCCATCTTCTGTTTTCCCCCAAAGAGAAAAGAAGCACCTTTGAGAAGAAGGCATTTGGGAGTTGAAATGAATAGAAGACAGAAGACAAAGTCATAGCTAGTAAATTTGACTTCGAAGACATGAAATACATTAAGAATTTTTATTTTTATACCCTTTTTTACATTCTATTTTATTATTATAATAATTGCACAGGGGTACATTGTGCTGTTTACATATGGGTTAACACTATATTTTAGCTCCACCATTCTCCCTCTTCTCCCTTCTTAAAACAATTTCATCAGGTTTCATTCTTCTGTTTTCGTAAATGAATATAGAACACATGCACCACATTCACCCTCATTCACCCTTTCCTATGTCCACGCCCCTTCCACTGGCACCTACATCCCAGAAAAGACATTAAGAATTTTAATTTGTGTCATTAAATCAACTTTTCTACTAAGATGTGGCCCATTGTTGAGGATTACAAACAATATGTTTCACTTGCAGTTTCCCACTATGCCCCTCATGATTTCTTACTAGGTGCCCTATTTTGAAATCATTATACTTTTTTTGGTATTTCTTTAATTTGAGTCTTTAAGTATAAAGTCCCATTACCATGAACCAGTCATTTTCTGGATTAAAGAAAGGACTAAGCCGCCAATGTGCCGGCAGCCTAAGCCTCTTCAGGACAGACTGCTGGAGATGGGGTGGTGGATGACTTAAATTTGGTTCCTCTCTATGGTGATTTGATTTGACAGAAATTTAGGTCCTTCTCATGGAGTCAAGGTTTGGGGTTTACATTCTGCCTCTATTCATCCAAATGCCAAGGTAACTTTATAATGGAATTATAATTGGACAAAACTGCCCCTGTGCCAGATGGAAATAGATTCTAGTGGGAACCAAGCAGAGAGTTTAAGGATGATGTCATATAGTCTTGCAGAGGATCGACTTACCTATGTTATCATAGGGAATTATGATGGAGCCGGAGTCAACCCACATTTTGGTATAGATATAGAGGCATAGAGGCATCATTCCAAGAGCCAGCAGGGTAGAACACGTGGTCATGCTGATGCTGCAAGGAAACGAGCAGGTTGATGATGTGTCTGTGTTTTCCAGGGCAGAGCCTGTTTTCTTTCTTTCTTTCTCTCTCTTTCTCCTTCCCTCCCTCTCTCCCCCCTCCTTCCTTCTTTCCATTCTGCAAAACTGGAGATCGAACCAAGGGCTTCCAGCATGCTAAGCAAACTGCTCTACCCCTCAAGCTAGCCCTTTCTCTTATTGCTAACTTTGCCTGGGCTGGCCTTGAACTCATGATCCTCAGCTACAAGACAAGTAGCTAGGATTACTAGAAAGTCAAGTGAGAGGCTGACTCAGTCAGTACTATCATCCTGCATGGTGGCAGAAGTATATATGTACCAAACTTGTGCAGAGGCTGGCCTTGGCAAAATGGTCCATGTTTGGGTCTTTCTACTTTGTTTTGCACTCTTCCTTCCCTCCAGATTTATCCTCAAGGATCAGACAAGGTTTTAAATGGTGGTTTAAACTAATTATTAAACAAGGTACAAGATTCCTAGACAAGCCACTTTTGATCTGCCAATTAGAGAATAGCAAACACATTTATAAAAGCCAAGACTACAGGCTTCACATATCTGTCCGTATTGGTATGAGGTAGATGATCTTGGCTTTTGTGTAAGAACACCTGTATTAGGGAAGGCCTCAATGTTTTTCCATAAAGCAGTTAAATTATTGGCCAATGGCCATAGCTGGAAAAGAAGATGAAGCTGATTTTTTTAAACAAAGAAAATAAGCCCAAGGCAGGGTAGATTGAGTAAGTCATTAACAACTTACCAAATGTGTTTCAGAAGAACCAGGGCTTGGTATGATTCCTGCTGTAAGCATTTGTATTTTAATAAAGGGGTCTGGCTGAGTAGAACAATTTTGGCTTTGCATATGGATGAATCGATATCAAATGATTCTGTTTGGCAGGCTGCCAGTGGATGAAAGAGATTTTTGGGAAGTGGGTCTTCCTGGTCCCCTTCAAAGTGCCCACTGCACAGGTGCACATTCTCTGCCTGTGGAACAGAGCAGTTTAATGTTTGGGCTCTGAAGCCACACAGTGCCTGGGTTGGAAGAAGATCTTGTCACTTTGTCTGTGACTCTAGCCAATGTACTTGATTTCTCTTCTCCAGTTCCCTTATGTAAAATGAAATTTGTTACCTCTTAGGCCATGGAGGACTAAATGGGCTAATGGTATTCAGTCTTTAGAATATTGCCAGACACTCGCTGAGTGCCAGTTACTGTTATTATTAATACACACAAGTGCATGCATTTTGTGTCCCTCTATGATATAGAATCAGAACACCTGAGCAATTTTTTTTTCTGAAAGACTCATTCCTAGATAGCTATAGCACGGAGATGATTCGAGTAGTCATTTCTTAAGGGTATTACCTGTATACTTTAAGGAAAATGCTAAATATTTACAATACGTGGTCCCCCTATAAAAAAATAACAACTCCACACTATTCTAAAGAAAGTAGATAAAAATAAAGGATTTTATTTCAATGCATCTAATTATAAATTTGTACAGTTTTGGAAAAAAGGGTGGGGGAAAATCTATCATCAGATTTAACTTTTCTCAAAAATGCAGAATGAACTTACTTAACTATATTTACAAGATTCAGATAAAAGTATTTGTATTAGTGAATCTAAAACATTGTAAAAAATAATGAATGCTAGAGATATGCTTAAAAGGCTTTCTGAGAACCTCAATCTATTATGATCATGAGTTAATGTAGGTAGAAAATAGGATGAGAAAGCAGAGTCCTACACTAGAAAAATACGTTCATTTGTTATTAGTAGTGTTTTTTTCTGTTTGCAACCAAAGTGCTGGACTTTGCAAATCCTTTTCTCTCTTTTCCTTCCTTCCTCCCTTCTTTCACTGTTCTCTTTCTTATCTTTAATTTAAAAACATATTAGAACAGATTTAACATTGTCTCCATAATAAAATCACTGTCATTGCTGTGCATTCAATATATATCCTAGATCAAGGTGGGGTGTTCAGGGGAATGCAATTCTTTATCTGTATCATAGTAAAGAGGAGGTCAAGAAATTTTTGTTTTACACTAGGAGAACAATTCTTGGGAGGAAGTCAGTTTTTATTTTTTTCTTGTTTTTCCTTTAAAATTTCCTTGGGAAAGCATCAGTTCTGAATTATTGTTAAGATAATTTAGAGAGTTGTATCATAGTTTTGAGTTTGGTGACAGCAGTTTCTTAAAGACCAGCAAAGGGACAAGATAGGAGTTGGAGAAGAAATGGTTTAGATTTAGTGACCAATCTTGATACTCTGTTACAGACAGACAGAGAATAAGTGGCTGGACACTGACGTTATCTGGACTAATAATAAAGACAAAGTCAAACCAGGGACAACGATCGATATTGAACAATTTACAGATAAGAGAACTTTAGTGAGTGGCATAGGGGAACGAATTTGTAAATGGAAATAATATTTCACGTGAAAAATTTGAAGTTCTCTAAAGGGTAAAGATATCAACACCAGAGATACTATCAAGAATTTGTAGTGGAATGAGAGCAAATACTAATATATAAGAAAATAAAAAATCTTGGCTTTAACTCTATTAACTTCCAGGGAGAATGTGTGTGTGTGTGTGTGTGTGTGTGTGTGTGTGTTACATACACTGAGGAATTCAGTGAAATCAGCGATAAGGATTACAAAAGACTGCAATTGTATTAGAAGTGAAGCACCACGTTTAAGGATTAAAAGAATGATTTGTAGGTGGTGCTAGGCTCTGTAGAACTGATAGGTGATGGAAATAATGTAGAGAAAGATTAAAAGCCTAGATAGAGGCGAGTGCATAAGTGTGGACCCCAAATCTGACACTGACATGCATTGACCTAATGATTTTGGTCAAAGTTATGAGTCTCAATTTTTATCATCTGGCAAATGCAGAAAATGCTGCTACTGACCTGAGGGTTCTTGGAGGATCGTACGCACTACTGCATTTTGAGTACTAAGCACAGTGTGCGATATTTAAGAGTGTCTAATGAACACTGGCTAATAAAATCAAAATAAGTGTGTTGTGAGAGAAACAAAAAGTTGTCTCCCTAACAATTCTGAGGTTTCTTTGAGGGAGGAAAAAGCAAAGAGTCAAATGGTATTGGGATAGATCTCCCAGAGTAGGGAGAAGATGGATATCGATGTGACTGAAATGGTCGGGATTGCTTTGAGTTTGTGAGAAGATCCAAGATTATGGATCTTGAACAACTAAAATAAGAGTGATCCTGAAATGGAAGATGAAAAATGCAGCAATATTTGGCCAAAGATAAATGACCTGATAGGAAAAGTGTATCCAGCATGTAGACTGTGCAGAACACGGTGCAGTGACTCCATGCTGAAAATGAAGATCTTTTGAAGTGTCCCCAGGGTTGTTAAGTCAATTGGAACACGTGTAGCTTTATCTAAGGGCTTGCACTGTGGCTTTTCTGCAAGCACCTTTGATTCTCCCAGGATCTCCCAGTCTCTAGAGAAATGCAGCATGATGATGGTCATAATTTTAATCCGTGTTTCATTTTATGGGCTTCAGGGAAGGGGAAGAGTTGAGTTTTTTTTTGGAGGAGGTGGGGTTGTTTTTCGTTTTTCCCTATGCATTCTTTCTTTTGGTGGCTTACACCACAGTTAATGATGCTTATATTTCAGATATGCATGCATTGCTTGCATTCTTCTGGTATCTAAATGTTGATTCCTTGTTCTAGGAATTCAACATTAATTTCCAAAATTATCATGGAACTTGTGGCAATACAAAACATAAATCTATGTATAAAATTTATTGGCCTTTCTTGTTTTTTTTCTCTAGTATATTGTGTATGCATATATGTGTGATGTCAGGCTGCCGTGTAAAACTTCAGAGAAGAATTTTAAAAGCAGACCATCCTTTTTGCAGGCTCTTTTCTAAGTACAATATTCAATGTAATAACTAAAATTGCACATTAAAGGTTATTTAGGGGTTTTTTTGTTTTCTTTATTTTTACTTGCTTTCAGTTTTCTATATATTTGCTTACTGTGGTTGTAGGATAAAAATGTGCTGGAGAAGCAAATGTAATGTCAACAGGTGACTTTCTAGTTGTATGTGTCATGCGGCATCTGAAGGGGCTTTGCATTCTTAAAAAAATCAGAGGAGCTTCTGAGCCAGATTTCATTTTTAGTGTTTTATGTGCCAAACAGGAAGTGCATTAAGCAGTGTAGACCCATCAGAAGACTGTTCTTATTGTCACAAATTGTAGTGTCTGAAAACACTTTTAACCTGATTGTCTTTTTAAAAAAAAGTCCTCCAAAGATGAAACAGGAGCAATTATTATAACTAAATAATTATGGTGGAAATGTCTATGGTTCCCTGGAAATGCTGTGCTCTCTGTTTTCCATCATTAGTGAAGTTTGGATGAGTGTGTATAGTTCAGAGGTCTTCATATTCACACTTTAAAGCTAGGCAAATGACCCCATCTTTTGAGCTTGAATTTATTTTTAGTTTTAAATTTGTTTTATATAATGTGTAGACAGTTCCCTGTTTTCTGCATTTAAAAGTATACACAATATAAATCTGTTAGTCCTATAAGTAATTTTTATAATTGTGATGTAACTCTACCTTTCCTTAAAATGTTCAAAATAAACCCTTTATGTTAAAAAAATGGGAAATTTAGAAAGGTTTGAGAGTAGAAAGTAAGTGGCAGTGAAGAAATTGGGGAAAGCTGAAGACAGGATGCATGGAAATGGACTCCCCAAAAAGAGTCAAGGAAAGGAAAATGAGGAAGTCCTTGCTTGGTGCAATTGAGGATATGTTTAAGGTGGAGAGATCAGATATTCACCTTATCTGGGGATACAGCATACACAAAGAAGGTAGGAAGTCTCTGTGTCCCCTGGTCGATGAGCCTTGGCAGACTCACTTGAAAAGTCACCTTCATTTCTCCCTGACACCTTATATGCTTACCTTGCTGCCCACCATGCCTATAACTTAGGAGAAAATTTCTGTGTAATGTTCAGATTCACAAGTGACAACTTCCCAGGCTGGGGGTCATCAGAGAAGGAGCTGGAATATCACTTGCTGTATTCCAGTGAGCACAGGTAACTTATCTTTTTATGTACTTATTTTTAGTTCACCAGAGATTGTAAAATGTAATGGTTCCCATTCCAGAAGAGATGATGGCGGGGGGAGGAATGCTTTGGTATCATCTACCAGGAACCACATCTAAGAAAGTTGAAGCCAGGTGGAATTGTTTTGCTAGCACTGTGTGACTTGAACTCAATAGTGAGGGTACCTGTTAGTATAAGTAATCGTGTCTTGACCGCCATCACTAGAGTTCAAGTGGAGATGAGGACATTAAAAATTTAAGAGTATAGAATTGGAAATATGAATAGTGCACAGGACTGGGTGCCAGTTGCTTATCCCTGTAATCCTAGATAGTTGAGAGGCTGAGATTGGGAGGATTATGGTTCCAGGCTAGCCTGGGTGAATACTTTGTGAGACCCCCCCCATCTCCAAAATAACAGAGCAGGATGGACTGAAGGTATGACTGAAAAAGGTAGAGTGCTCTCATCTCAAGCATGCAGCCCTGTGTTCAAACCTCAGTCCTAATAAAAATAAATAAATAAATGAATAAACAACCATGACACTTAAGTCACCAAATATTTACTCCAGAAATAAAAAAAGTTTTGGAAGACTGTTACTTAATAGCTGAAGATTTCGCTGTCTCAACTTGTTTTAGAGAAATATTTGAATATTTGCCCCTAAATTATGCAATGCACAATGTCATTTTCTTGCACCGTAGCATGGTCAACCTCTTATCAGTGATTAAGATCCACTGTGATAAAAGTTGTTGTACATTTTGCTAGAACACAGTGATTTCTTCTGGGCTGTTGCTCACGGAGAGATTGTCCCTAGAATAAGTGATAGGAGCACTTCTGTGCTGCATGAGTTCCTTTCTCGGCTTTGTGGGATTTGCGCTTCTCTTGCTGCTGTAGGACTCTCACACCCTGCTTCCTTCCTCACTTTGTGTTTCTGATTGTTTGTGTGCCGGAAAATAGAACCAGAGGCTTCCGGAATTAGGAAAGTTAAATATATCCAGAATGAAAAGCCTTAGAGAATTAAGTGGAATTTATGTCATTGAGTCTTAGTGAGTTCTGTGTAGGTTGCAGGACTGGATAGACGTTGGTGTTATGTATACTTTGCAAAGCAAGGGTGGGCCTGTGGAGTACACAGTTTACACAGTTTAACATAATAATTAAAGTTGAATTTTTCAATGCTGAATACACCATTCTAGGGCTTATACTGACTTACTGAAAGATTCATGTAATGAATGATTCAGCTAGGAGGTTTTCTGCAAGTTTTCATACTCTACTTTTTAAAATATAATTTACAAGGATTATTATACTAAGTAGGCAGAATACCATAATTATCTCCTGTTCAAAAGAAACAATAGTTCTTTTAAAAACAGACAAGTATAACTTGGAGCTTTTCAATTAGGCTTTACAGATACAGCCTGCAGAAAAGAGTCCATTTCAACAGCTGGAAAAATCCAACATCACACATCCATTTTTCTATTTTAGGAAGCAATTACAAGGGTGCATTATATTGTGGTACACACTGTGTTGTGAAAAGACAAGCCGGCATTGTTTAAAAGTTACAAATATATAAAAGTTGTTTAGCGAAGGTCAAAGCCTCAGGTTCACTCCCCTCAATATAAAAGGTACAAACTTTTAGAATTGTCACCTCTGTGTGTCCAGGTCAAACTAAATTGAAGCCTAAAAAAGCTTGTATTGTTATATTGTGCTTCACATATTAACTAAACCCAAATAGCAGTTGCCACCATGTGTTCCTTCACAGGGCTCTTCTTCTTCTTCTTTTTTTTTTTTTTTTTCATGTTTACTAATTTTTTTATTGTGCTGAGTGGAGGTACATTATGGTGTTTATGAAAGTTTGTATCAAATATATCATAGTGAATTCACCTCTCCCTTCTACTCTCCTTTATTTTCCTCTCCCCTCATTTCTGGACTGGTTTCAATAGGTCTTGTTTTTTGCATTTATATACATGTATACCCATTTTTTGTGCCATATTCACCCTCCTATCCCATTCCCCGCCATCTCCCCCCTCCCGCTGGTGACAAAACCCTCTGCAGACTTGTTCTGTTTTCCTGTTCTCTGATTTTGTAGAAGAAAAAATTTTAAAAAATGACATTTTTGCTTGTTTGAGATAAAGGTAGCTATACAGGGCTTTTCTTAAAGAAAAAAAACAGATTGTAAAGTAGCTATTGCATTTCCTTATGCAAAAATAGGAAATGTATATAGTTGGCAAGACTTTTTTCTAAAGCTTCTAGAGAAATCAGCACCAGTTGAGATGAGACAGCAAGTTCCTAATTGCTCACTAGACACTTGATCAATCCGGTGTTACTTTTCTGCCCTTGGAGTGTCTCCCTCTGCATGTAGCTGGGGATTAACAGAGCTGACTGCCCGTAGTCCAGTACTTAATAAGCATGCATTACATTAACTCCTGGATGGCTTGCAAAAATATATACCTTCCACAGGAAATGAGGAATGTGAGGAAAAGGAAAAGGACATTTGTGTATCCAACTTTCATCATGAAGAGTCTCGGTCTGATTTCTATTCCTTTTTTGTTTTTTTCTTTTCTTTCTTTCCCTTTCAGTGCTACTTCAGACTGGCACAAGATGAATTGGGCAAACATTACTAGTTAGATTACTCTGGGAAGCAGAGAAACTGTTTCCTGTTTATTTTATAGTAAGGTAAGCATCATTGAAAAACAACTGCTCTAGGTTTTTCCCCTCGTTCCTTTTAGTGACTTCTTCTGTGGATTTTATACCAGGAAATAATTGAACCAAAGCATAGGCTGTCTGGGGGAGCTGACCATTGTCTCACTATAGATTTTAGTGTTCGATGAGCAGTTCGATTTCATGTTTGTCCTCAAAGCTTCTTGTTATTGTAAAGAAAGTGGGTTTTTGGTTTTTTTCTGACCCCAACAGGACAAGCTTTCTCAGCTATGGCTAGTGTCTTGGGAAAGATTTCTTTTATGAAATACTCTGAATCTTTTCCCAGAGATAACCAGCAATTATGCAACTCTCTGTTAATTGAGTTAGATTTAAAAACCTTAAAAGCACAAACACAAACTATAGCCCCCAAATCGTAACAGCTAAGCAGTTGTACCAGAAGGCGCACGTGTGTGTATTCATTCTACACTGTGTAATCCCTCACTTGTTCCTTAGCTCAGTGGAAGATCAGATGAACATCCAGCATGCCATAGGCTTCTGAAAAGATCAAGTAAGCCAAGTTGACTGCAGTAGTTGGAGGTGTAATGTCTTACCTTAGGTCCATGTCACCATCAACCCAATAGGCCAGGATGTTGGAGGAAGTCCCTCCAGGGCAGCAACCCATTATGAGCACCACCACGGCCTGAACCGGAAGGATGTCAAAGGCCAGTGACAGGATGAATCCCACGAGGGGCATGATTCCAAACTGACAGAGGAAGCCAATAAAGATGCCCCATGGCTTCTTTATGTGCCCTAGGAATTTCTTAATTTCCACATTGCAGCCCATGGAAAACATCACCATTGCCAAGAGGACTGTCAGCACAGCACTCAAGATAGTGCTCAGAATGGCATTGAAATTGCTGGCAGGCACCACGCAGGAATCACCTTCACATACGGTCGCATTGTCCAAGCAGACTGTGGAGTTACTCATAGCTGGTCTTGCTGCTCGAATGGCAGAGTCCACAGAAGCACCGGTCTTCTTCTTCTGTCTCTGCAGCCAGCCAAGTACTGTTTACCTCAACCACTTCAAACTTTTAAACCCTTTCTGAACATGTGGCATTTGGTGTCTCTTTCAAAAGCCACCTTGGAGAAGCAATAAAAACAATAAATGCTAATATGTCAGTTTTGAGAGGTAACATTACAACATAGCGTAAATAATGAATCATAAAAGTTCAGCAAAATTATTGGCCCAGACAGAAAGTGATAATTAATCATTTATTGGCATGATAATGAACCGTGACACATAGGAATAGCTGTGTTAATGTTTAATGCTGGGAAGGTTTGCTGAATAATTTCTGTTAAGTGACCATTGAAATCAACTCTGAGTTAATATGACATGAGATTTAGGGGGTTGAGGTGTAGGGAACCATACTGTTCCCTTATTTCCCTTTGAGTAGAGAAGAGCAAGCTCTGAAAATTCCAGTGCCCTCTGCCACATTACATTGAAAATTAGATGTCAGATTGAACTAGAACTAGAACCCATGTCCCCAACTTCCTCCCCCAGTAATTTTCCTACTGTATCGCGCTCTTCCTTGTATTGGACTACAGTGTTCACAAAGTATGCATATAAGTTTCAGAGACTTCTAGGGCTTGATGCAAAACTGCAGGAGAGTGACACTCTGGAGGACAGAATGCTTTCTGGTGGGAAGGAGTCAATCACTCACACGTGTAATTATCATGCGTTGCCGTAGCAACAAAGTGCTTTCTAGATAAGAGACAATACAATTATTTAGAGGGATGAACCTCAGAGGATTAGGTCAAAGTGACAGGATCTCTTTCTGCTTAGAATCAGGAATTAAAATGATAATTTTTTTTTTTGTTCGTGTGGGGGGGAAGAATTCCAAGGAACAATGATTGTTGTAAATGTCAAATCGTCACCCTCATTATGGGTGAAATACTGAAATTAGGTATAGAGGAAAGAGTCGGGACACACACAGGAATAAAATTGAATATTTCTATCATGCTTCACAATTTGTAGGCCAAATTCTAATCTATTGTTCAACTGAATCATCTTAATTAAGTAGGACTGGCATTCCCATTTCACAGATGATGACCTGAGGGTTGAGGCAATGAAGTTCTTTATGCACCCAACAAGTAACTGGAAACACTGGACCTCTGTTTTCTGGTTCTAGGTAGGAAATGGTCCGTTTTGCTTAGAGGAGACTTGGAGTCAAACCTTAGAACAGGCCAGGCATGGTGATGCACACTTATAATCCCAGCACTCCACAGGTTGAGGCTAGCTTGGGCTTCATAGTGAGACCCTGCCTCAAAACACTAAAACAAAACAAACAACAAAACCCCCAAACTTTAGAACAGATCTTCTCAGAACTCTGTACGTAGGGGCCCCAAGTCTGATAAAATGCAGCTTCTGATTCCGGAAACCTGGCCTGGGCTTTATTTTCTAACAAAGTGGTTAGTGGATTGTGAAGATGCTGACCCAGATGCACTGAGAACATCCAGGTTGCCGACTGACTTGCTGTACTCAAGAACTGTATCCATGCAGGTGAAGACAAAAACAGCTGGCTGCACCTGGAAGCAGGCTTTGCCTCATGTGAGTCTCCAGGAGAGTGGTCACTAGGCAGAATAGGGAACAGAGTCGCACTTTCAGCATCTTGAGTCTGGGCTTGCTTTTCATTTAATCTGGGATTGAGTTGCTGGGAAAACCCGAACCATTTCCTTAAACAGAGACAGTGATTCACAGTCCTTGCTAAGACAGCTTCTGTCCCGGGAGTGGCCTCCTCAGGCTGTTTTTTTCTGGTATGGGTGAACTGCCACTAAGTCTGCCAAAGCCCACCCCAGACTTGCAGTTGGTGGCCTGCCAAGTGATCTCCCAGGAGATCCTTCAGTGCCTTCCACCACCCTCCCTACCCCAGCCACTAAATCATTAGCTAGGTAATTCCCAAAGGAGCTTCTCCTCCCACTCGTGGCTGTGAAATGACTTGGCTCTGCCCTGCTAGTCTCTTCAGGGACTGACTTCTGGTTCACTGTCTCACCAGGTGCCAGCTGCCCGGGCAGGTGAGCTGAGTGCGCCTCCTGCTGATGCACCCACCTGTGTGTGCCTGTCAGTGCTGGCTGGGTGAAGCTCACTGACTATGTGCAGTTTACTCCTCTCTGCTCTCCTTTCCCTTAATCTCAAACATCAGGTGAAAATCAGAAAGGTAGCCTTGTGCCTAATAGCAAATAGCCTCTTTACCAGGTCATGTCTGCAAAAGGAATCTGAATCCTAGGCTGGAAGGATTTGGATTTTGAAATTTCTCCTAAGTTTCAAAGGCTGCAGTGTGAAGCCTGTGCACAGAGCTCCAGATAGCCATATTCAGTCACCTCTTTGAACTCTAGGGGGTTGACAGGCCAGCCTTATGGGTTGGCTGTGCTGTGACTGGGTTGGTCAGGTACAATCTATATGTAGTCTCTTTGTCCACAGTGCTGGAAGCAAAGAAGAGACAGTGAAGAGTAAAAAGCAGGTTCAGAACAAAGCTCTTCTCAAATTTCAGATGACTTGCTAAGGAGATTTTAGGCTCCCAGGGGCAGAACGCTTTGCATACAGACAACTTGCAAATGAGCAGTCTGTTTGACTAGACAGAGTGCTACAGTTCTGCTTAAAAAAATGTGCCAACGCATTTCTAATTTTCACATTGTTTTTACATAAATTTTCACATTAGGCTCAAGAGACCTTATATTCAAGTATTGGAATGATTCACAATTAATTAGTTCCCTTAACTTCTGCTACATTCAAATCCACAGGCATTGAGCATATCTAAATATATAAAATCATTGTCTCTATTTATAACATAGAAGTGAAGAACAGATGCACACCTAAGGGGACAGTCAGGAGATTGGGGCTTGTTTTTCAGATATCATCTTTCTCAAACTTTCCTGCTCAGTTTCTGCACACACTGGGCTTGGATCCAGGTGACTCTCCCAGCAGATTCCAGCCCCTGGGCCCCTGCATGGAGATGTGGAAGCTGTAGTTTAACTTGACTTCTGAGGCTTCCCTTTGATTCCCCTGTGTAGGTTTGGAGAAGCAAGGTTTAATAGCTCGCCAGCATGTTTGCCCTGAAGTTCACGTGATAAAAGATGAACTTTCTGTTTTCTGTTGTGTTCCATTGGGGATGGCTTGTTCAGATCCACAGCCATCTGGGACTTCAGTGATTTTGTTGAACAATTTCCTGTGATTGAAATTATTCCCTCTTTCTTCTTTCCAATTCCTTCCAACAGACTGATCTTTGTTGGAATCCAAAGTCCTCAAATTAGAGTTTTTGGAGTCTCCACTAAGCTTTTTTTGAAAATAAAATATGGTGGGGAGGATAGGTTATGAATGACTAGCTAGGAATAAAAAGAAAAAGGCAGCTTTGAACCTGGAGAAGCAGGGAGGATAGAAGGAGCAGTACTTACTCAAGCAAAGTGCTCCAGGCTTGCAATCAGAAGAACGGGCCCTGGCCATGCTCTGAGAATACTGAATTAAGTCGTTAATGAATGGTTGTGAAACTTTATTAAATATACAGAGAATGGTAGAACTACTTTGGAAAATACAGCTAAATATACACATACTCTATGACCCAGTCATTCCAGTCCTTTGTGTTTATCTAAAGAAATCTATAAATTGAGTTCCCTGAAGACATGAACTTGAACTAGTTCATAGTAGCCCCATTCATAATATCTCCAAACTGTAAACTATTTAAATGCCCATCTAGGTAGAATGACAAATATATTATAGTATATTCACACTGTGGATTTCTTTAGATCAGTTAGGATGAATGATTTGTTACCATGAAGCTAATGTTAAGTGGAAGAAGCCAGACAGGAGAGCCCATATAAAAACAGGTAAAACTTATCCATGGTGTTAGAAGTCAGGATAGCAATTACCTGCAAAGTGCGAGAGAGTAGAGACAGAAAGGTATCACTGTGTGCCATACTTCCACAGTCAGTAAGAAATAACACAGTTCGTAAGGACATACTGAGGAAAGGTGTGCCTGAATCTAGAGGAGGCAGCAGACAACAGTAAACCTGAGAAAGCCTTGGAGAACAAGATAGGTGTAGGGGTGGAAGGTGGGATGGGGATAAGGCTGAGAGGTCAGTGGGGGATTGGATATTCTGCCTCTATCATTTAAAAATATTCTCATTAGTATTTATTTGATTTCTTTATATGTACAAACACAGTCTTCTATAGGTCATGAATGTAATATGTAGCTCCTGTGGCTCATATTTGTTAGGTCAGTAATTTTTATTGGCATATATGAAATTGTTCATAGTAAGGAATTTCATGACAAGATACACATAGTGTACTTTGATCCTCTATTATTCTCTTATCCCTCCCTCTTCCTTTCCTTTTTTCCCTTCCCTTTTCAACCTCCCTAGTAGTCCCCATTTTACTTCCATGATCTTGGTTGTTTTGTCTTGTTTTCCTCTGGCTCTACAAATGAGAGAAAACATGCAATACTTGTTTTTGTGAGACTGGTTTATTTCACTTAACATGCTCCATTCATTTTCTAGCAAATTATATAATTTTGTCTTCTTAATGGCCAAGTAAAACTCCATTGCTTAGATATAACACATTTTCTTTATCCATTCATCTGTTGATAAGCACTTAGGATGATTTCCAAATTTGACTATTGTGAACAATGCCTCAATAAATGTGGATATACAGTTACCTCCAGAGTAAGCTGACTTTGATTCTTTGGGATACGTATTCCTAAAAGTGGTACGACTGTATTATATGGGAGTTCTATTTTTAGTTTTTTGAGGAAACTCCATACTGATTTCCATTGTGGCTGTACTCTTTTTTATTACCAGCAGCATGAATAAGAGTTGGTTTTCTTAACCATCCTATGCTGAATCATCTTGCTATCAATTAAACATTTTCTAAATGTGTAAACTCATTACGCTCTGTGAACTTCTAGTAAAGTGCTTTTTTTGTTTAATCACTCTTAGGTAAACTTTCAAGCAAATCCTCTTGATAGA